ATCAATGAAATGGCAGCCCGTCCGCACACGGTCACCAGCCACCACTGAGGGTGTAGAGGATGGTGGACCTTGGTTTCTGTTCCCGTGCAAAGGCTTTGTTGGAAATATGGGGGTTTCCGCCAAGACGGGGGGTGGGGGGCGCCTGGGAGGATATCTGAAGGTCAGACCACCGGACCGGCTAGTGCATGATGAAGAGGGACAATGGGACCAGTGCTGGGGAGAGAGGGTCCGCGGGCATCTGGTGACGGGTCTGCCCCTGAGCTCGGGCAGGCTGGGCCGCGGTTCACCGGCAGGCCCTGGGGCCGGCCCTGGGCGGCAGCGCCGAGCTTACAGCAGGACGTGGGAGTGGGCCTGCACGCTTCTCGAATTACAGGACTGGGAATGAGGCCTGCATATTTGTAAGAGGTGGATCCCTGCACTGGGGCAGCCGGGTCAAAGGGCCACAGGCCAGGCGGCTTCAGCAACAGACGTTTATTCCCACAGCCTGGAGGCTGACGTGGGAGATCAAGGGCTTGGCAGGGTTGGTTCCTTCAGAGGGCTGTGGGGGAAGAACCTGTTTGCAGATGAGGTGTCTGCCTGTGTCTTCACATGGCCTCCCTCTGAGGGAGGCTGTGTCCTAGCCTCTCTCCTGGGGACCCGGGCGGATTGCGTTACGGCCCGCCCCGATGACTTCATCTAATGCCATCGCCTCTTTAAGGACCCGGCCCCCACATACAGCCGCATATTCTCAGGTGCTGGTGGTTAGGACCCCAACAGCTTTTGGGGGACTCCGTTCAGCCATAACGAGAGGTGCCCCCGTGGGGTCTGAGTGTGGTCAGGTCCCTCTCATGACGGTGCTGAGCTGCTCCCCGGTGCTTCTTCGCTTCCCCTCGTGGCCCTGAGCCACAGCTCGGCAGCGGGAACCGCGGGCTCGGAATCAGCAGCAGAAGGCCCGGGAGGGACAGGGTGTCAGAACCACGGAAGGTCCCGCTTCTTGGGGGGCTGGAGGCCCGGGGCCGGCGTCCCTGCCGTGGCCGGCAGCACCGAAGCTCGCACGTGAGGCCGCCTTGCTGCTCTGTGAACAATTTCAGCTCAGCCTCGCCAAGCCACCTGTCTCACTGCCCCTGTCGATCGGCCAGTAGTCAGTTCTGGGCCTTCTGGCCCGGGGGGCTGGCTCCACACTGTACCCCCACTTTGAGGAGGCTGAGCATGCAGCTCGTCCCCTGCCCCCTGCAGCTCGCCCAGGGGCACAAACTCAGGAGGCAGCCACCTCACCGTCAGGATCAAGTTGTGCAGATGCAGGCTTCTGGAACAACCTAGACCTGTTATCTAATGAAAGGACTTAGAGACAGGCCGGGCTTCCTCGCTGCCTCGGCGACGGCATCTGAGCATTAGTGAGAAGGTGCCGCGGGAGAGGGACAGGCTGGCTGTCCTGCCTCCAGGCTCCTCGTAAGCATTTGGTGTCTCCGGAGGCCCGGGCGCTGGGGGCCATCCCGATGTCCTTTAGGCAGGGTGAAGGGCTGCGTGCTGGGCCTTCTCTCCGTGTGTCTAGTGCTCCCGTCAGGGAGCAGCTTTGTGGCCGAGCGCTGGGCTCTGGCTTCCCTGTCCTGAGCGGCAGTTCTTGAAGCCACTGGGCCTCAGTTTCTTCATCTGTAACATGGAGGTCTAGACTCCAAGAACCCACCTTATGGGATTTATTATCACTTCATAGTCATCAGGAACCTGCAAATGAAGATCGCCGTGTGATACTGTGACACCCTGGGTTGGGCTCGGGGGCTCTGACCTCCGGAAAGTGAGGTATGCTGTCGGGAAACGGATACGAGTGAAACCCGCATGGGCACAGTGTAGCATCGTCTGTAGGAGCTCAGATGATCGCGCCCCAGCGCTGCGGATCCTAATCCTGGGGCGTCACCCAGAGCTCCCGACGCCCCGAGCACGGTTGGGCGTGAGCAGAGACGACACGCAGACGGAGGTGATCAGGACGGAGCATCACCAAGTACTTCGCTTGCAGGGGGAGCCGCTTAGCTTGCGGCCCTGCAGCAGAAACGCAAGCTTGGGTGTTTGTACGGATTTCTGTTAGAGATTCTTAGACCCTGAAGCATCATCTGCTACATTACAATAAGGTCCTGCAGAGGACCTCAAGGGGAGGTGCAATGAAGTGCGTTTCCTGACTTTACGGAAGAGCTCGGCGCTGTGTGTTTTGAACACAGACGGTGGTGGTGGTGGCGGCGGCCGGCGGGCACCGCGAGCATCAGACCCCGTGGGCTGCCTTTGCAAGAATGGAGTTCTGTTTAAAAAGTAAAACTGGACAGAGTGCCGGACTGTGTACAAACGTGCAGAGCCTGACTTAATCTTGTCTGGTCGGAGTTAAGCCGTTTTTAAGCGCTCTCGGCAGCCTGAGTTGCGCCTCCCCCACCGCACTCCTGCTGTGCCCATCGAGGCCGGGGAGAAGGTGGGGGCGTGCGGGCCGAGTGGGGCAGCATCCAAGCAGACGGTCAGCACTGGGTGCTTTCGTGGGGTGGGCATGTGGGAGGACCCCTGAGCCACCGTGGCTGATGTTCCTTAGAATGGAGTCTGGCCCACAGGGAGCGATGGAGTCGTGCATTTGGACCCCACTTCTGGGGCGCCCGAGCCAGAGACTGACAGCCCAGGAGAGCCCAGGGCCACGCTCACCCTCGGGTCCCGGGAGCCCAGCAGACAGCATGTGGGACTGACCTAGGGTGACCTTGGAAGGACAAGGGCAGGTCGTGAACGTGAGTCACCAAGAAGGCTAGCTGTCGGAATGAAGCTCCAGGCCACATCCATCAGCCCCCGTCAGGGCCCCTGCTGAGCCCCGGGGTCTGGGGCAGGGAGGCCGGCTGGACCCCGGACGCCAGCATTCCAGACAGGAGTGTGCGGTGTTGGTGGTGAGGCCATGAGAGACGCGTGTCTAAGGGTGGGTGCAGCTCCGCAGGGATTCCTGGGGATGGACTTTTACATCAGAGACTCAGGCAGCCCAGAGACTGGCTACTTTATAACCTCGGGGTTGAAATGGATTCCAGAGTGAGAGCCTGCGTTCACACAGACTTGTGCTCGAGCATGCATGGTCACCAAACGCCATGGGCAGGTGGATCGGTAGATCAGGACCTCCGTGCCGTGGAAGGTCGAGCTGCCTTCAGGCTGAACGGTGGTGCACACGTTGTGCTGAGCCACGAGGCAGGTGCCGTGTGTTTCTACTCACGTGAGCCTAGAGAAAAGGAAGCTGGATCCACAGTGCCAGAGGCTGGTGGCGTTGCCAGGGCCTGGGCACTGCCTGGGCAGGGGCGATGGGAAACACCCTGATGTGAGCATGGCCTTGACCGTGGCCGTGGCTTTCCAGGTGCCATCACCCTGCGCACCAGTGAGCACATCTGAGCTGTGCTGAGCTGCACCTTGATGGACCTGTACCTCGTGCCCCGGTGATGGAATCAGCAGGTCGGCCATGGAACCTGGGAATCTGCTTTTAAAAGCATCACGGCTGATACGGCAATCTTTGCGCTGGCTTCTGGGGACCCTGGTTATTCTGGCCTGTGGGGCAGGTGGGGGGAGTGCAGGTAGAGCCTGGTCTCCGGGGGCAGTGGGGTGCAGAGAGCCTGCCGATTCGGTGCTAGAGGATGGGCATCGATGCCGGGTCTGGACAAAGCCATTAGCTCTAGTACACGGAAGGAGTACGTCGTCAGGCCTGGCCTGGCTGGCATGTTTGGGACTCTGCCTTCCAGAAGTGTCCCCTGCCTGTGGGAAGTGTGTGGACGCAATCTCGCTGCCTACATTGGAATCTGGTCCTACTGCTTCTCACGGTGGGGCCCCGAACAAGTCCGCTGTCCGTGCTGCTGTTTGCTTGGAGGGGAGGGTTTGCAGCGTCCCCAACAATGTAGTAAGAAGTGTCTTGCTGTCCCCCTGTTTTCTGTCCTTTACGTTCAGAGGATCAGTTACAGTAACTGCGAGTAACCAGTGAGTAACAAACCGTCCCAGCACTGGTCTGAGAGAGACCCTGCCCTTCGTCGCCCTCCCTGTCTCTTCAGCCACAGTGGGCTGGTGGCTCGGGGCTGCAGAGGGGCTGTGCCATCCAAAGGCCTGACTGGGCCTGGACGGCCAGCTTTCACTGCCAATGTCCTCCTGACACGGCAACTGGCTCCCCCTGAGCCGACCACGTGAGGACCAGGGGCTGGGCAAAAGTTGTACTTTTGTGACTCAGCCTCGGAAATCACAGCGGCCTGTTTCCAGCACAGTCGGTTTGGTCTCGGGGGGCAACTGGCCCCCTGGTGCCCCCAGGTGTGCTCAGCTTGTAAAGTGAAGCAGGACCTGCCCCAGAGAGTTGGGGAGCCTGTCTCAGAGCCAGCTCCATGCCCCATCCCCAGAGAGTGTGTGGGCCCCTCTCCCGCAGACCACGGGCAGCCCTGAGTTTGGATCACTGCTTCCTGCTTGGTTCTCTGCCACGAGGCGGGGTTACAGGGCAGCTCACGGGACAAGTGCAACCAAGAAATGTGAGGTTTGGGCTTCACTGTTGGAAGTAAGAAATGCATGTGAAAAAGGGAGAAAAACTGGTTAGGTCCCTGGGTGAGTCACCGTGCTGTGCTAGAGCCCAAACAGAGGCTGTTAGCTTCCAAGTGCACCACAGTTTGGGAATTAAATAGTTGACATAGTGTAGATCTGTTTTATAGAGATTTCATGTGCAGTTTGATCTTTTTAAATGATGCTAAAAAAAGTCTAAAATAAAAACTATCTGTAATGCTTTTTCCTAGAGGTAATCAATCACTAGTAATATTTGGGGGCATTCGTTTAGGTTTTTTCCTTCCTTCCTTGTATGCATGGGGAGGGGGTGTGTATGGTGTGCGCGTGGTGTGTGCGAGAGTGTGTGTCCCTCCCAGAAGGAAAGGCCGCAGAGAGTGGCGTGAGTGAGCCGCTGGCTGGCGGGCTCTTCCGCGAGCCCCGTGGGTCGTCCTCCGCGTGCCACCGCCGGGGCCCTGGGGGCCCGTCCTCACTGCTGTCCCTGTCCTTTCCAGGACGGCTCTTCTCAGTGAAGGACCTTGCACTCGCTACTGAGTAGCGACCATGGGCCTGCTCGCCTACCTGAAGACCCAGTTCATGGTGCACCTCCTCATCGGGTTCGTCTTCGTGGTGAGTGGGCTGGTCATCAACTTCGTCCAGCTCTGCACGCTAGTCCTCTGGCCGGTGAACAAGCAGCTTTACCGCCGGCTCAACTGCCGCCTCGCCTACTCACTGTGGAGCCGTGAGTGTTGCCCGCGCCGCGCACGTGGGGAGGTGGGGGCCGGGCAGCAGGGGGGCAGGACGTCCTTTGTGCCAGACGAACCCAAACCCCGAACAGACCGGCCTGCACTCCCTGCCGGGCGGGGGCCCCCGGGGTGGGGAATGCTCCCGATGACGTGAGCGGCAGGCGGGGCCCAGCTGGCGGTGCCCACGCAGGAACGGAGGGGCTGCTCAGGGGTGGCCGGCAGATGCGCCGGAAGATGCTCAGCCTCTCCACGGGGTTGAGCCGAATGACATCCCGACAGCCGACAGCTTGGACCCACCGAGGACGTAGTTTTGTATGGTTAGCATGGTCTTGGCTATCTGAGGACAGATGTGAACTCGGTTCGCCAGCCGGGCAGCAGGGCGCCGCGAGGCCCATCCGTTCTCTGGGGCGTGCGAGCACCCGTCTGTCAAGGACAAGGACCCTTTCCCGCTTTTGATCTGACGTACATGTGTAGACGTGTGTGTCTGTGGCCGACACGCACCTGCGTGTGCGTGTAAAATCAGTCCCCACCTGCTGGGTGGACGGAGACGCGGAGCCCCACAGCAAAGCCCACGGTTGCCAGGGCTGGACGCCCGTGATGCGGTGTGTGGGGTGCCGGGCGCATCGCGGGACGCCTGCAACAGCCGTCCTTGCCGGCCGTTACCCCACAAGATACGAACATGCCTGAGAGCTCCCTGCAGGAGCGCCGTCGGTACAGACCTTCTCCTTTTACCACTTTGACATCAGCACAGGCCGGCAGCCACCGTAGTGCCCCCTCAGTGGGGCACGAGTACGGTGAGTGCGCCGCAGACGCCCGCAGCCCTGACCAGCGAGGGCGTCTCCCTACTGACGCAGAGCCATCTGCAAAATACATTTCTAAATGAAAGAGGAAGGTGCACAACAGAGTACAGGGCGCCCTGCTGTCTCTTTGAGGACGGCGTGTGCCGTGTGTGCGCGTGTGCGCGCTGGTCGTGCCTGGAGGGTCCCCCGGGGCCCCAGGAAACCGAATGCCCAGGGACTGGAGGAACGAGGGGCTTCTACTTTTTACTTTATGTTTTACTTTTACTTATTTAGTGCTTGTTTGGTTTTTATTTTTTTCCTTTTCCTTTTTACTATTTGCATTTATTTATGTATATGTCTGACTTTGTGCTGTTTACGTTTTTTAGCTTAAGATCATGTTTCTTTTATAGTAAAGAGAACACAATACCCATTTTATATCCTTTGGGAAACGGTGAGTCTCCATTAGCCTCCCAGCTCGGGAGCAGGGGCGAGATGACAGCCAAGGAGGCCCGGAGGCCCGCGACTTCCGCAGCCTCGGCCGAGACCGGCGAGCTGGCCCGTAGATTTAGCTTGCCTTACACGCTTAACAGCTTCGGTTCCCAGGGTTTGGTTTCTCTTTTAGATAAAAGATTTTTGTGGGGGTGGGGGGAGGGAGAATTAAAAATCCTATCGTGTGAAACATCCAATGAGCTGCTCGTGAGTATAATTGGGTGAGAGGAATACACACCAAAAGGGCAAATGCTAATTAATAAAAACTAAATTGTGACTCCACCCGCAGCAGGATTATAAGGTTAAAACACTCCCGAACGGCTCGGTCCTGGATAAGGCCGGCTTATTAGCACCTGGCTGGGGGCACAGTACGTAAAGGGAACCTCTCACCACTGCCCCATCCCCTCAGCAGAGAGCGGGGTGCTGGCACCGAGCCTCCAGTTTGCCTTCCAGGGGCCCCAGCTGGACCAGCTGCAGGGTGGGGGGACCGGATTTAACTGGACCCGGAGCCGTGGCTGGGTTGGAGCTGGTTAGCAGCGCCCTTCGGGATCAGCAGATCTGGGGGAAATACCTCCTTCGAGCCTTTAGGCTCGAAGAATCTCACAGATCAAGACAAAGCAAATATGAACTCGTAGTCGGAGGACAAGAAACATCTGGCAGATTTAGACAAAACACTACCAAAGAGTGACAAAAAGAATCAGATAGAACGTCCATAAATGAAAATTGTAATTGTCGAGTATTGTTAGAGTGAACTGTTAGCTGGTGGATGTGATGTCACGTTGGACCCAGCTCACGGGAGACCAGACACAGCGGATGCAAGTGTGCGGCAGAGACCCGGGAGGGGAGGGTGACACGGGCTGGAAGGAGGACGGGGCGAGAAGCCGGATCTGTGGAGGGGACGCGGCAGAGGCGGTGCTGGGACAGAATCCTCCTGGTGGACAGAGACGTGGTGCTGTGACTCCACGAGGACAGCGTGTTCCCAGCAGGGAAAATAAACCAACAGGCACGCTCAGACATGCCCCAGGGAGGTCACACACAGCGGAGACAGAGAGCAGGTGCAGAAATACCCAGAAGGGAAAGCCCAAGTGCTGGCAGGAATGGACAGATGGACCGACGGCAGTCTTTCAAACGAGGGTGACCTAGAACAGTCTGATGCCAGCCAAGAGTGGCGGCACTCACGGCCCACGATACGCACCTGACATTCCCGTCGGAGAAGTTCTTTAGGAAGAACAAAAGCTATCATAAAGCGGGGTCTGAGGTGCTGGAAAGAGGGCAGTCAGAGAAATTGGTGAGTAGGTACATCTAAGCAATCCTGCTAAGTAATGACCATGCCCGGTTTGTGAGGCTGAACCAGAACCAGGCAGGGCAGAAGCAGGGGTGGGGGTCGGGAGGGCTGTGTGCGTGGGGGGTGTGGGAGGGGGAGGGAGGGGACGTTGGGGGAGAGTTCCAGTCCCACTGGGCTCACTTCTTCTGGTATTTGCCAGGAGGACAGCGGCCTCTGACGCCAGACTTTGCTAACAAAAGGTGGGGTGGGAAACAGACCTCAGATCTAACTTGAGAACTCTTCCAAGAAGATGGGTTAAAAAAGCAAAGACAAATGCGTTTTTGTAACAAAGACAACAAAGGGGAGGACAGCCTGAGAACAAAACCTGTCCCCCGGCCGGAAGCAGACTGGGAGTGAGCCCCTCGTGCGGGGCACAGCCCAGACGCCTGTGAGGGGCGCCGGCCTTCTGTGGCTGAGTGCGAGGCTGTGGGAGCCCCCGAGGGACCCGCTGAAGCAGGGGTGTTCCACAGGCATCCCCCTCCGATGAGGACTGAGTGGAAGGCTCCCCCAGATTGCAGGGGCACGCGGGGAGGGCTGCAGTCACATCACTGTTTTAATGACCCTGAGCCACTGTCCAATGTCTGGCTGGACGCGGACCCTGCTCTCACCCTGTGATGCCTGGTGCCCTCCCGCTGGCCGCCCTGAGTGCGTTCCCAGCGTGATCCTCCTCGTCTGGCCCCTGGCTCCCGCTGACCTGGCCACGCCCAAACTTCCCAGCTGGAAAAGAGAAAATCACCTCCCTCCCAGCCAGCAGCCACTCTATCCCCATCGAGTCGATGCAGGGAGTTTGAGAACAGCAATGCGCAGCGAGTGGCTGAAAGAGAGAGCTTGCTCATTCTGAATGAAGGAAATCACACCGAAAAATGAGTGCTGGGCCCAGGAGCCCACCAGCCAGACTCCTCCAGAGTGCGCCCCCGCGGGGCGGGGGTCGCAGGCACGGACAGCGGGCTGGCAGCTGCATGGCGGCTCCACGCTCCATGGACAGAGAGGCTGCTGGTCTCCAGATGAGACGGGCAGGCACCCCCGGCCCGCTGTTCCCTCGGCTGCCGACTGGCGGGCAGGGAAGGGCAGCCTGGTGACGCTCCGACAGAGCCGCTCTCCGGGACGGGCCGTGGCTCGTCCTCACAGAACGTCTGTAGGGGGTTTGGGGTGCCTGTCCATCCGGCCCTCCGTCTGTGGTCTCTGGGCGCCTCTGGAACACAGGGATGGCTGGGAGAGCCAGCATTCGTGGACGTTGACCGCAAAGCGGCCCCACTCCGGAGCACCTGCGGGGAGGGGGCTGTGCCGTCTCTCTCTTGCAGGTGAGGCCACACAGCTGGGGAGGGCCCCCCCCCCCCCAGCCAGCATGTGGCTCAGCAGCACGCTGCACTCCCGCCCTTGGCAGCTCTGAGTCGGGAGCTGAGGCCGTATTGGCTCCTCTCGAACAAAGGATAAGAAAGCAGAACTTGCCCGTGTCTGCGGCAGCGTCGGTCCCACAAGCCCGCAGTCTGAACACGTGTCCAGCGATGGATGAACGGATAGAGAAAATGCGGTCCTACATGCAGTGGGAAATTATTCAGCCTTTGCACGGGGACTCCTGCCACAGGGGGCAACACGGATGAAACTGTAGGACATCATGCGAAGTGAGGTGAGCCGGTCCCAGGAGGACGTGTACTGCCCCATTCCGCTTCCAAGAGGGACCTGAAATCGGCCGCACCCTGGAGGGGCATAGGGTTGGTGATGCGGTGCGCCATCCAGCCCTGTGCCCCATGGTAACGGTGCTGGATTGTGCACTGGAGGTGTGTTAGGAGGGCGCGTCTCAAGTGTTCTTACTAGGATAATGGAAAAAACACCCCCCATTCCCCAGCAAATCGCTTTAGAAGCAACACTCTCCACCATAGTCCCTCGTGAACCAGCTGACCCCTGGGACTTTGCACAGGCCCTGCCAGGGCTGCTGCCATCCGATAAACAAGAGCCAGAGAGAGGCAGGGAGCGGGCAGCTCTGGGCTGTGTCTCCCCCGGGGGGGGGGCGGCTGGCCCCCCCCATCAGCAGGGGACACTTCCAGATGTGCAAGCGGCCGGCCTCCTGGCCTCTGCTTTCCTTCCTTTTCTTTTCAACAGCTTTACCGAAACAAAATCCACCCTTTATACGGTCCATACAGCCCAGTGGTCCTGGTGTATTTACCCCAGAAAGAAACCCCATAGGCACTCACAGTCACTGCCCATCCCCCATCCCTGCAGTCAGTCAGCTGCTTCCTGTCTGTGGGTTTGCCCGTTCTGGACATCGCATACAACCCCTACAGGTCGGTCCTTCAAGACGGACTCACTGTTTTCCAGGCTCGCCCAGGTTGCAGCTGGGTCACGTGACACGGTGTGGCGGGACAGTGGTTATGTAGTGGGCCATGGTTCGGTGGGCATTTGGCTGGTTTCTGCTGTTCGGCTGCTGTGAGCATCCATGCACAGATGTTTGCATGGACACCTGTTTTCGTGGCTCTTGGGCAGATCCCTGGGATGGAATCGCGTGGTTGTCCCCTAGCTCCGTGTGGACACCAGTTACCGAGAAATTGCCCAGCATGTGCACGGCACTGGGCAGGGCTCCTGTCTCTCCCGTCAGTGTCCGGTGACAGCCATCCCGAGGAGCGGAAAGGGGTGTCTCACTGCGGTTTGGGCGCATCCTGATGGCTGGTGATACTGAGCATCATCTCGTGTGCTTGTGGGCCGCCTGTAAATACCGGAGAAAAGTCTGTTCAGATCATTTGTCTTCCATGCCTGCGCCTTTCTCCAGGCTTGTGAATGAGGGCTAGAAGTGGCCAGGGCTAGCAGGGTCATTGCTGCCGAGTTTGCCTCTGACAGGTGGCCTTTTCTGCTGACGCTGCCTCGGGTTGTCCCCCGGGTGGCAGGGCCTGTGGCTGGTGAGTGTCCAGGTACCATCTGAGGGGCAGACCTTCTGTCCAGCTCCCACCTTACAGAGAAGGAAGGTGGGACCCCAGGGGCTGCGTGATCAGCAGCACATGGGGGGCAGAGCTTATGCAGCCCCCACCTTGGCCCGGGCTGGTGGGGGTGCCCATCGGGAAGGAGGGACCAGCCCCAGTCGTCTGGTTCTTGGGTGTTAAGGTCATGAGTTGTGGCCTGTGGAGTCCTCCAGGGGCCCTGTGAGGAAGCCACTATTTTCTCCTTTCTGTAAATGGGGAAACTGAGGCCCAGGCAGTCAGGCGTGGAGCCTGCTCTCCAAGCCCTGGCCTCTATCCCCAACGGCCAGTCCCATCAGAAGATGGAGGGGCTGGTGTTGAGCACAAAAACAACGGGGCTGTCCTGTGGTGATCCTGAGCCCGAAAGTCGTACTTCTTGGTCTGTGGGGTCACCTTTCTTAGGACGCCTGGCCATGGTGGGCATAGCCACACTGGCGACCACGGTGGCCCTGGGGCTGGCTGTGTGCATGCACCCACCCCCTGTGCCCCCATTCTGTGGCTAAAATGTGATCGTCCCTCAAATTACAGCACCTGTGGGAATCGTAACAGGACATAAAGACGTCCACCCTAAGATTACGGTTTTCTTCCACTTCTGCTTTCCATTTGTCTTTTCCCTGACTTTTGCTTAGGAAAGGTCATTGCAATTTTGGAAAATTAAACTTATGAAACCTAAACCATCAAAACTCATTTCTAGCTGGAAGTCCCACCTGGATGAACATTCTGTAGAAGTCCCCTGAGCACGGGCTTGGCCGGCACCTCCTGCAGCGGGGGTCCCGTATCCAAGCCCAGCCTCCTGCACCTGCTGATGCCGCTCCCCCGTGTCTGCAGAGTTGGTCATGCTGCTGGAGTGGTGGTCCTGTACGGAGTGCACGCTGTTCACTGACCAGGCTACGGTGGACCGTTTCGGCAAGGAGCACGTGGTCATCATCCTCAACCACAACTTTGAAATTGATTTCCTCTGTGGGTGGACCATGTGTGAGCGGTTTGGTGTGCTGGGGGTAAGCCACATGGGGGTCCCGGGGAGGTGCTGGGGCTGAGCAACACAGGGTCCTGGGGAGGTGCTGGGGGTGAGCAAAGCAGAGTTCCAGGGAGGTGTTGGAGGTGAGCCACACAGGGGTTCTGGGGAGGTGCTGGGGGTGAGCCACACGGGGGTCCCAGGGAGGTACTGGGGGTGAGTAATGTAGGGTTCTGGGGAGGTGTTGGGGTGAGCCACATGGGGGTTCTGGAAAGGTGCTGGAGGTGAGCAATGTAGGATCCCAGGGGGTGCTGGGGATGAGCAGTGTGGGGTCCCAAGAAGGTGCTGGGGGTGAGCCACATGGGGGTCCGGGGGAGATGCTGGGGTGAGTAACAGGGGGGTCCCGGGGAGGTGTTGAGGGTGAGCAATTCAGGGCCCCAGGGAGGTGCTGGGGGTGAGCAGTGTGGGGTCCCGGGGAGGTGTTGAGGGTGAGCAATTCAGGGCCCCGGGGAGGTGCTGGGGGTGAGCAGTGTGGGGTCCCAGGGAGGTGCTGGATGTGAGCAGTGCAGGGTCCTGGGGAGGTGCTGGGGGTGAGCAGTGCAGGGTCCTGGGGAGGTGCTGGGGGTGAGCCACACGGGGCCCCGGGGAGGTGCTGGGGGTGAGTGGCATGGGGTGTGGGTTTTCCTTCTCTTCCAGGGTAGCCCCTGGACCCTCTGAGCCCAGAGTCTGAGGTCAGGTCCGCCCTCAGCTCTCCAGGGCTTGTCTTGAGCTCAGGTTTATTGCATTGCCTCCCATGAACCCGTACTTATCCAGAGTCCCCACAGAGCTCCCTTGGCCAGCTGAGCTGCCTCAGGGAAACGTCAAGGGCCCCCTGAGGCAGGCCGAGCAGAGTCTACAGTGAAAGTAGCCATACTTGGCCATCCCAGGTCACCCTCAGGCAGCCCAGGGCCTGGTGTCTAGAGCGGGCACCCCTCCCTCCACCAGCCTGTGCCTCAGTTTCCTTGTCTGTAGGACAGCACGCCTGCCCCCTTGGGGTCGTGCGGAAACCAGCGGCCATGCTCAGAGCAGGGCCTCCTCATTGATGGCAAAGTCACCAAGCACCAAGAGAGTCCCAGGGGCGCCTGTGGGGGTCTTGACCCTCACCACCTGCCCCCTCCCTCCAGAGTTCCAAAGTCCTCGCAAAGCGGGAGCTGCTTTATGTGCCCCTCATCGGCTGGACGTGGTACTTCCTGGAGATCGTGTTCTGCAAGCGGAAGTGGGAGGAGGACCGGAACACCGTCATCGAGGGGCTGGAGCGCTTGTCCGACTACCCCGAGTACATGTGGGTGAGTGCCCTGTGGCTTCAGTCCGGATGCCTTTAGGTCTCCTGACCGCGCCCACCCCCCACCCCGCCCCGACTACATGATTAGCTGTGGCCGACGAGAACCCGCACCAGGGAGCAACTTCACAGCAGAACCGGGGCCCTCACCCCCTGAGCTTGCAGGCTGGGGGGTCCCTCCCAGGCCACCTGCTTCTACCTGCCCCAGTGCAGACCCAGAGCCCTGCTGAGGGGGCCTGGAGAGGAAATGAGCCCCCTTCCTGCATCCCTGGCTCAGCTGTGCAATGGAGACACCCTGAGAGCACCTGCCCAGCCCCTCGGGGGGCCTCCTCTGCAGGGAGTAGCTTCCAGGGAGCCAGACTGCACAGCAGACCCCAGGAACCCTGTGGTTCTGGGGATCAATTTGTACTTCAGAGAAGATTTAGCCTGTTCTTAAGAACATCTACCCCTCAGGCCCCTGGGGCAGGGCGGGGGGCTTCCTCCTGTTTTTCCAGCCCCTTCCATGAGTCTGATGGGCCAGCCATCGGAAGTAGTGGCCATCGGTCAGTTTGAACATCGTTTCTGTTTCTAATCTGGTCTCTGGAAGTGTTTCTTTGAGAACTGGCTACTTAGTTGCATTTCTAATCCTCATGTTGAGGCAAATGGATAATAGACTTCCGATTTTCCACCCACTGGTCGGAAGGCTGCTGCCTGGGGACACCTTCCTGTTCCAGTTCTTTCTGGGAGGTTGTCTTTGGCATTCTTTGCGAATCAGTGCCGTGCTGTTTGCTGGTCTCTGAGGGGCTCTGTGTGGCTGGACTGTGGATTGCAGCCCTAAATCCAATCACATTGTACAGGCCACCTCACTTGTCACTAGAGTGTTCTGTCATGGCTCCAAATCAGCAGCACACGCTCTGTGCGGGGGAACGTTGGAGCCCGTTGCCTGGGGTAACCCCTGGCCCCCCTTGTGCCCTAGTTCCTCCTGTACTGTGAGGGCACGCGCTTCACAGAGAAGAAGCACCGCGTCAGCATGGAGGTGGCCATCTCCAAGGGGCTGCCCGTCCTCAAGTACCACCTGCTGCCCCGTACCAAGGGCTTCACCACGGCGGTCCAGTGCCTCCGAGGGACGGGTAAGGGGCCGCTCTCTCTCGGGGCTCTGCATGCAGCAAGACACGAAAGTGATTTGTCCAGAACTACATAAGTGAATGACGTGTAAAATGCGGGCCAGCAGGACAGAAAGGGAGAGCCAGTAGGCGGACGCACCGTGTCTGAGCCACTCCTAGCGTTTCAGAGGTGATAAAATTCTAGTTAATGGAATAAATGATGAATAAATAATGAAAAAGTTATGTAACTGAAAACCTTATAAAGGAAAAAATACATATATCTAATGAGTCCCAAAGGAGGCAAGGTCAAAGACAGGGACAAAGAACAGGGAGTACAGACAGAAAACAACCAGACCATAAATCTGAACACAAATGGTCAGTAACGTGCATCACCCACGTGCGAGGAGCCTGCAGGGCCAAGCCAGGTGCGGGGCCGAGCCGGGTGCAGGGCTGAGCAGGATGCCAGTGTGGGGCTGAGCTGGGTGCAGGGCTGAGCCAGGTGCAGGGCTAAGCCGGGTGCAGGGATGAGCCGGGTGCCGGTGTGGGGCCGAGCCAGGTGCAGGACTGAGCGGGATGCCAGTGTGAGGCTGAGCTGGGTGCAGGGCTGAGCCAGGTGCAGGGCTGAGCCGGGTACAGGGCTGAGCCAGGTGCCGGTGTGGGGCCGAGCTGGGTGCGGGGCCGAGCCGGGTGCCGGTGTGGGGCCGAGCCTTATGCGGGGCCGAGCCGGGTGCCGGTGTGGGGCCAAGCCGGGTGCGGGGCTGAGCAGGATGCCGGTGTGGGGCTGAGCCGGGTGTGGGGCTGAGCCGGGGGCAGGGATGAGCCGGATGCCGGTGTGGGGTTGAGTGGGGTGTGGGGCTGAGTTGGATGCAGGTGCAGGGCTGGGTCAGATGTGGGTGCAGGGCCGAGCCGGGTGCGGGTGCGAGCGTGGGTGCCGACGCAGGTGCCTGCCCAGGTCTCACCCCCACTGCTCCCTGCAGTCACAGCCGTCTATGACGTCACGCTGAATTTCCGTGGAAACAAGAACCCGTCTTTGCTGGGAATCCTCTATGGGAAGAAGTACGAGGCAGACATGTGTGTGAGGTAAGCACCCCTCCCCACGACCCCAGCCCCTGGCACTGGGCCCCTGGGTGCCCAGTGGAGGCAGCCTGCTCCCCAGAACTGCAGATGTGGGGCCAGACCTGAGAAGCACTCGCTGTCCTACAAGGTGAAGGAGTGGGTGTGGGGTGAAGGCAGACCCTTCTGGATGCTCTGAAGACAGGAGCAACCTCTCCTGCTGGAGGGACACAGAGGCTTTTTAAAAGGGGCTGAGCTTCAGCTTGGACAGTGACTAGGATTCCCATAGGCAGAAGGGTGAGCTGTCCCAGCCCAGGGCATCTGGTGTTCTTAATAAAAGGGGGTTTTGACTTTGACCCCAGCTCCAAGCCTAACTGTAGGCAGGCCCTCTTGCCTGGATCATCCCAGTTGAACTTGGCAGCCCCGCCCCTCCTGGTTCCTTCAAATGTGCAGGAAGGCAGGACCTTCCCTGGTGTGTGCACAAATCACGGGCCCTGTTAGCGCCGCTGCCTGTCTCACCAGCCAGCACTGAGCGTCCACCCCGGTCAGACTGGCCCCCAGGGCTCTCGGAGGGCCTCTTCATGTCAATCTTGAGCACATCTAAAACAGCAACCACACCCGCCCGGTTCCTCCCCCTCCCCCCATGAATAATTTTGTGAATGTAAAGGATAAGCCAGGGGGCTTTTTCCTCCCGAAGTTTGCAGTGGATTGGCTCAGAGGAGGTGTAGATTCTCTTATTCCCTCCTGGGACGGGGAGAGAGCCCCGGGTCTTTGCCCTTAGATCTCAGGAACCATTGGGGACCGGGTGGCTTATCTGGGGCCCTGGTGGTCCTGGTGGCCTCCAGCCCTGGCTATGGCTCTGACCAGAACACGTGCTGCGATCCAGGGCAGTGACAGCAGCGGTGGGCTCGGGGCCCGTCCTCACCCTTGCTGGCCCCTGGGCGGTCGGGGTGGCCCCGGGCTTGGTCTCAGCCGCTCCAGGTCCCAGCCGGGAGGTGGCAGAGCTGGGCGAGTCCTCCTGGTCCAGCTCCAGGCCAGTGCTCACGGCTACCCCACCGGGTTGCACTGCCCCTCCTCGCGGACAGTCACCCCTTGCAGGAGAAGACCTGTGCCTCACTCTGTTCATTGTCCCCTTTGTTGCAGAAAGCCTGGAATTATACTTTACCTAATCTTATTTTAACAGACAAGTTCTTAGAACGTCTAAAAGCTTCAATGTGCTATTTTGTGATACTTACCTTTTGGGTATTTTGAAGGAAAGCAATATTCCAGTGAGTCCAAAACATGCTTATAATCAAACAAGACAAAGGTCTCGTGGGCCGATGGAGCTTTCCTCTTTTGAGTTCCTTTCCTGTTCCCTCCTGGTGCGGTTGCGCTGGGGGCAAGGCCGGGGGCACCCGGTGGGGGTGGGCTGAGGCTCCCTGCGTTCATCCGGCGCTTGGGGCCAGCATCCTTAAAGGGGCTTCAGTCCACTCCGGGAGATAGATGCTCATATTTTTATTTGTTTTTTATCGTCCTTTTAAATTCTCATTTTATACTTTTCATACTGCATGTAGCAGACCTACACTAGAACCTGGGTGTGGTGATCTACTACAGGATATAGACCCAAAACCAGGGGAGGAGGCCGTCGTCCCTCAGGGCACACCCCTTCTGAACTTTGTCTCCTTACCGGTGGCGCACCGGTTCCCAAGACCTTTTGGGGCCCACAGAGTTAGAGCATTTTTGTTTACGAGGGGTTCCCCGTCTCCTTTGCTCCCTGTGAGTACAGAGCAGTTCCCAGAGGCTGCATGAACCAGCCTCGCTCCCGTGTCCGTTTTCATTTCAAATACGGTGAAGATCGACAGGTTATAACCCACATAAAGCACAGCTCTCCACTTTTGGAGACAGTACGGCTAGGATAACTTCAAACACGGAGATTTTGGCAGGCTCCTTTCACTCTGGCCCGCCCGGCGGGCAGCCAACGCGGAGACCCCCGCCGGGTCGTTCCTGCTCCGGCGTGTCCCCGGCGCCCCCTGCTGGCGGCCTCGGGTACTGCGGCTGCCGTGGGGCGCCCTCTTGCCCTGCGCTCAAGACTCCTGCGCTCCTGGGCGGGTGATCCCGCTGGTGATTAGGGTCATAAGCAAGTGTCACCGAAGTCAGCTATTTGTGAGTTAAGATTAAAGTTCTGAATCTCTGTTGCTTTTCATATTTGGACCAAATAGATTTCCTTTGTGAAATACATAATCCTCTTTGCCTAATGGAAGACACTCTCAGTTTTGATTATTTCTGAAGAATGGACTATTAGGAAAGACCAAGACTCCTGCTGGAGCTCACAAATGCACACCCTTCTCCGTGGAGACGGGGGCATGGTCTGTTCCATTAAACTGCCCATGAGCCCGCCCCCCCCACCTGTGAAAAGTGTTGGCTGTGCCTTGGAGAAGAACACACCTCCCTGCCCTCCCTCCGTGGCCCCCGCCGTCCCACGGGGCCCCAGGTGCTGGCTCCTCTGTGCTCCGGCTGAATGCCTTGGATGTATGTGTGGTTTTAGAACTTGAGAGTGAGGCCCGACCAGAGAAGGTGGGGCCGGCGAGTCCCCCCCGCCACCGCGCAGCGACTACTCCCCTGTTAGATGTCATCCCACGGGTAAGCCACTGTGCTTTCAATCCCCTTACCCAAACAGGAGATTTCCTCTGGAAGACATCCCACTGGATGAGAAGGAAGCGGCTCAGTGGCTTCATAAACTTTACCAGGAGAAGGTAAAGGCACACGGCTCTCCCCTCCCCTGGGGGTCTCGGGAAGAGGATTCTGAGGGGCGGCACACGGGGCAGGCGGGGCATGCGTGTGGATTTCCGGAGACGGGATTCCCATGCGGCTCTCAAACACTTTCTGCCTTCCTTCCAGTGTCTTCAATTTTTCTTAACTTGTGAGAAATCAACACACTAGAGAAAAGTATAAAGGATGGCATGGTGCTTATACAACCGTGGCTGATCACATTTTACCACATTTGGTTCATCTTTTCGTGTAAAAACTGATAGATCCACAGCCTACACGTATCGTGCGTGTGTGTGTGTGTGTGTGTGTGTGTGTGTGTGTGTGTGTGTGATTCATAGAAGAGACAGAGTCCAGGTGACATGAAGAGATCCATAGGCCAAGCACACCATTCCTTCTCCATTCTCCCACAGCACACCGTCCAAATGTGCCACCGGCTTGTTGTAGATATGCAAACATACAGGACACAATATCTTCATCTTCAGCATTGCGGGGGGCTTAGAGAATGACAAGATCCTTTCCACATACGACAAATATCCTTTTAAAGGCACTGGTGAGCTTTTAAGAAAATAAGGATCAGAGAAGAAATTGGAGCTGAAAAGCAGGTCATGAGCCTATGAACCGGGAATGCCACACTTCTCCAAGTGGCATTTGCTGGTCCCCTTACCCTGGAGTCTTGAGTTTTAATGCCTACCTGGAAACAGAAGAGAGGGTTTTGACCTCATTCCAGGCAGGAACTCACCTCGCACGATGAACTGAAAGAAACATACCTGCCAGCACAGGGAAATGACTTTGACGCTCCCCTTTCTCCTCTTGGTCTCAACAAGGTCTCCCTGATAACTCATAATCACAGGTCGGCCCTCAGAGGGACTTGGGGTTTGAATTTATCCTAACAATATTGTTCAGGGAGAACAAAGCCAAAATATCAACACAACAAGTGGTTCCAGGCAAACCATTCCAGAGTTCCTGAGAGAAGCATGTGCAGGGCCGGGGGAACACAGGTAAAATCCTACTGGAGATGAGCGCGTAACCAGACCGCGAGCGCAGGGCTCACAGACAGACACAGAATAGAAGAGGCAAATTCTCCAAACACTTTAGCCAGTGGATCAACAGAGACTAAAATCAGTATGTTTGAAGTGGTTGAGCACAAAGAAGGAACTGAAAACAAAAGAGCAATACTGACAGAAAAAACACAGATTTGAGAAAAACCAAGTAGAATTGATAGGCAGCAAAAATCTAGGTATTGACAGTAAAATTTTAATTAATAGATTAAATAGCAGATTTGAGACAGCTGAAGAGAGAGTAAACTGCAAGATTGAGAAGAAATTACTCAGAGGTGGCACAGAGGAAGTGCACACATAAAAGGGAATCTTTATAAGTTTTTAGAAGACACAGAGGCTAGACCCAGAGGTCCAATATGTAACTACTGGCAGGTCCAGAAGGAGACAAGAGTGGTGAAGAGCAGGTGTCACAGATGACAACTGTAGAGCTTCTGGAATTCATCAGGTTCAAGAAACACACGTCTGGGACAGGGTAAATAAAGAGAAATCCACCCCCCCCCACAACTTATCAGTGAAATTGCAGAACACAAAAGACAACGAGAAGGTCTTAGAATAACCAGAGAGAAAAGACATACTTCCCTCAAGGGAATGATCGTGAAGTTGGCATTAGACACATCTTACTATGTGTCAGGATCTCTTCTAAATGTCTTAACACACATTTTATCCCCCTATCTCGCACACACGCGCACCGACATACGCATACATTGTACGTGCATACACATACTAAAAATAGAGTAAACCCAGAGAGAACAGAACAAATAAAATAATAAAAATAGCATAAATCATTTTAACAGAAAGCAAAGCTACAAAAGAGTGAATCAGCTGTACCAAATGCTTTAAAAAAAATACTAATAAAATAGAAAGCCGGCAAGAGTGACCCGTTAGAAGAGTGATAGCATTGATAGTAATGAAAAGGTAAGCCAACCAAGAGCAGAGGAGAATAATATGAGTAGCATCACTAACTCTATGCTCATACATTTGAAAACTTAGGTAAAATGTATGATTTCCAAGAATATAACTCTCTCTGGAAGGAAAATAAAGCCTATGTGAAGAAGAAATGCAGCGTATGTGGTCAAGTAGATAGAAAGGCAGATGGATCTTGAACACACTAGGTTGCAAAGGAGAATCCATCTCGGAATCCAGGGCAACACGTGAGAGTTTAAAACTCTTACACAATAGACATTTGTGAGCAACAGTATTGTTCAACACAGGAGGAAAAATAATGTAACAGCGCGTTATTGGGAAATAGGACATTGTGTGTGTTCATTTGCGATGATTCAGTCACAATGAACAAACTGCATATCATCAGCAGAACCAGATTGTGGGGACATAATGTGCAAACACGCATCAGGCTCCGTGCAGAAGGCGGCGTGGCATGCAGGCCGTGCACGGACTTGTTCACTTCGCGGAATTGTTCTGAGTTGTGTCTCAAAGAGACCGCCAAGTTTGCATCCCGCAGCTGAGCGTGAGATGCCCCTTGTGAGTAGAGGGTCTGGATGGCCCCTGCCAGGCCAGATGCAGACCCTGCAGTGACCAGCCTCGGCGCTTTGATCCTGATGCAACAGACAGCTTCCGAGAGGCATTGACAGCTCCCGCCTTTGGTTATTTACCAGTTAACTCCAGCGTAACCTGGAACCAGACCACAGAGCTTGTGCCTTGCGGTTTTCCCGTTCCGCAGATGTGGGAGCTGACTGGCAGGTGCTGGGGGGCGGGGGGGTGAGGTCCCGGGCCTCCTGGCCTCTTGCCCTCACTCCTGCTGCACACTCGCTGCATGATCTGAACGGCGGGCCGTGGGGCGGTGCGGGACATGGGACAGGGTCCTGAATCCAGTGCTCTTCCTTCCTGGCCATTCGTGTCTGGGCCACGGTGGCCGAGTGCCTGCCAGGCTTCAGGGAGGGGACGCGGTGGATGCGGTTGGGGGGTCTGCAGCGGTGGTGGTGAGACCCTCTCTGCGGTTCCCAGCAGAGGCTGGCAAGGGGAAGGAGGAGGTGGGTCAGGCGAGGAGTCGGGAGAAGGAGAGAACGTGAGCTCTGAGAGCCAGCCCCATGGGATGGCCTCAGCCGGCCCGGGCCAAGCATCTGCTGTCCGTGAACGAGTCCGAGTGCCCCCGTGTGCCTCGGGTGAGCGCTGCTTCCCCGACACGCGAGGTACACACACGCTACACGTGTGTGTGCATACCAGCTACGCTTCCTGGCCTGGGTCCCAGTTCAGAAAGGCATGGAGCTGCCATCTGGAAGAAGCCACGGCCCCCGAACGCACTGTGGCGGGTCCTCAGGACCATGGGCGAGCTGAGCTCACCTCCCTGACCCTCCCCAACACCTGCGAGCAGGATCCCGCCCCCACTCCCGGGTGTAGATGTGGGGCCGAGCCAGCGGCATGTCGAGGCAGTGGGCTGGGGTGAGGGGCTCCCGGAGAGGCCCCCGGGAAGCAAGCGGGGCCCACAGGAAGGGATGCGGTGACGGGAGGCGGCCCGGCCCCAGGCACGGCTCTCGTGAGGTGTGCGTGCGTGTGCACCTTTTCCACCGGCGGAATGCTCTGGCAGCTCGTCTCACCTGCTCCTGAGCCTCCGGAGACAGAGGAAGGGGAGCCGAGGTCGCTTTCCATGGGCGATGTAGCAGGTGCAGACGGCGGCGGGACTGGCGCCCGGGCTGCTGCCCCACCAGCCCACCCTCAGGAGGTAGCTGGAGGCCGCGGGGGGCCCCGCCAGCACGCCAGGCCTGGGGGCGGCCGTGCCTGCCTGAGCCCGGCTTTCTTTGAGCTTCCACGAGGCTCCTGCCGTCCCCAGCCCATCGCACACAGGGTGGTTGCTTCATTGATGGGAACGTGGACGGGTGGAGTCGTTTCCATCGTCAGCGCTCGGCCCTCGCGGTAGAAGAGCATCTAAAGCCGCTTGTTCTCCCTCTTTCAGGACGCCTTGCAGGAGATGTACAACCAGAAGGGCGTGTTTCCGGGGCAGCAGTTCAAACCCCGCCGACGGCCGTGGACGCTCCTGAACTTCGTCTGCTGGGCCACGGTCCTCCTGTCTCCTCTTTTCAGTTGCGTCTTGGGTGTCTTTGCAAGTGGCTCGCCTCTCCTGATCCTGACGTTCCTGGGGTTCGTCGGGGCAGGTAACGCATGCGAATAACACAGCTCGAGCTGGGGGCCTTCCGTGCTCCAGCCACGGCGCCCGGCCCGGGGGCCGTCGAGGTGGCCGGCCTGTAGGGAGCAGGCTCCCCCTGGAGTCTTTCCGGCCTCTGTCCACTAAGCCGTAGGGTCGTGTGGGCCGCAGCCACGTCCCGGGGCCGTCTCCCTACAAACTGACCGGCCGCCGGCTCTCAGGGCATCAGCATTGTGTGCTGCAGCTGGGCCGGCCCATGTCTACGTGGTGGCGGTCTGAGGGCCTCTGAGGACATGGGCATTACTCGACAGCCCCCGCACACAGTCCTGGGCTCTCGGGACTCCCCCGGAACCTTCCCAGACGGACGGGCGCCCAGCCTGTCCCAGACACCTCGCAGGGCGCGGCAGCCCCACCAGGCCCATGGCCACCTCCTGCTCCCACCCCCGGAGCCCCCCAGACAGGCTGGCCCCTGTGGGGCGGGGGGAGCGGGGAGAGGGCTGGCCTGCCGTCCCCACGGGGGGGGGGGGGGGGGGGAAAGGGGGGGCCCCCCCCCCCCCCCGGGGGGGGGGGGGTCAGAGGCAAAAGGTCGGGACCCCCCCCCAATATCAGTTTTTCCAACTGGATGGCTAAGCGACCAGTCTAACCTTGCCTTTTTCCTATTTTAAAGCTTCCTTTGGAGTCCGCCGACTAATAGGAGTAACTGAAATAGAAAAAGGCTCTAGCTATGGAAACCAAGAATTTAAGAAAAAGGAATAATTACTGGCTGTGATTGCACATACATAACCTGACGGTGGTATCCAATTAACTCATTAAAAACAGAACAACACACAGAGATCGGAACAAAAGACCCTTAGAAACTATTTTTCGTACTAACTGGTGACTAATATTGACCAGTAAACCTTGAGCCAAGAGTGAAGCCGTCGGAGGCCCACAGACGAAGACTCCGGCTGCACCCCTGCACGGGGGGGTGAGAGTCCACCACGGAGCTGGGCGCGGGGGGCACGTGTGTGCGGGGGCGGGGGGTGGCCACTCCTGGGATCACGGGTCCCGCCCCGATGTCATCTTGAGAGAACTCTGCCTGCCCGAGGGAGCCTGTGATGCTTTCTCTTCTTAAACTTAGATCCCATTTTTGTTTTTATCGGTTATTTTGGGAACTCACCCTGGCCCTTCGCCTCCTCCCCTCCCCCCAGCAAACCTTCCCCTGCTCTCCTGGGATGGAGGACTTGCAGGTCCCAGGCCCCCAAAGTGCCCACCTGTCCTGCCCAGCACCGCCCCTTCGCTCCTGCCGGTGGGGTGGGCGCACAGGGTGTCCTTGGGGGGACAAGCACACGCCGAGTGTCGGATGGATGGGTAGCCCCGTTTCACTGTCAGACCACGGCTTGCCCGTTTCCCCCCTAACCCCATGTGTAAGTACCTTACATCTGTTTTTATAGTGAAGGGGCCCCTTCACCCGGTACCTGAAGCCCCCTGTCCCTCTTTCTCCCTGCGGCCTCCACGGGGCTGCACCCCTGCCCCCGGTGCCAGGAGAGGGCTGCCGTGCAGCCCACAGGAGTCTTGGATGCTCGTTTAAAAGTATGTCACCATCAAACCTTGCTTCTGGAGGTGGTTGGAGACTGTTCACTTGGAGGTCGTTGGCTTCTAGAGGTTTCATTTTTACAGTTGGTCTATTGATGGCTTCCGCTCCCTGATGCAAAGTAGAGGTGGTGAGCCTCCCCCGACTCCGCCAGCCTCCCTTTCCCAAGCAGGTGCCGGGGCCCCGGGGGTGGCCTGCCCCTGTGTGACAGGCGTCACCCCAGGGGCATGGGGGCACTGCTCCCCCCTGCTCCCCCCACCATGGGGTGTCTCCCGGTGACCTGACTTGGGCCCACGGCCCAGGGGAGCTGCGTGTTCCGCAGATGGAGGCGTGGGGCTGGGGTTGCTGGGCTGGTGGAGGGAGGGGCATGGGGGGCTCCCCAGCAGCCAGCTCCTGGGCCTCAGCTCAAGCATCCCGCTGCACGCCCTGCCTGCATTGTACTTCCTTCCTAAACCTCAGGCGTGTTGTTTGCAAGTCACACTCCCCTCGCCCTGTTTAGCCAGGGAAGGAAAACTAGCAGGTGTTAGCTCTGGTACCCTGTAATCAGCATTCCGAAGAGAGGCAGCCTGAATTTTCTAGGAGAGGAGGTGGAGCCAAGAGGGATGGGAACAGTAGAAACTAAACTGGACAAATAACTATGCATCAGCCCTTGGTCTGTGTTCTGGGAGGATTTCTCGAGACCGCACACGCTCTTTAGGAGGACACTGCTGGATTCTGTGTGGTCGCCGTGGGGCAGGGCGTGACGGAGCACAGCCCCGCGAGGCTGCAGGGCTGAGGCAGGACCGCCCCCCCTCCCTCGCAGCTCAGACCCCGCGCTGCAGGGAGGCGCTGCCTTAGGTTCTTTCCCTTCACCTGGCGAGCTGCTTCCCTGTCCCCGTCTCTGTGTCACTAACTCACTAGCACCTGGGATGTTGTGGCGCAGCCGCGGGGCACCACCGCGCAGACGCCTCACCTACTAACTAAACAAGACACAGTTTAGATCTTCCACCTGCTAACTCCTAGCTCTCGTTGCCCGGAGCCTGGGGACCCCTGTGCGCCAGGGGAGTCCGCCCGGAGTTGCTGAGCGAGCCGCGCGGACTCCCGTTCGCACGGAGACCCAGGCCAGCGCAGGTTTTTAAATCTCAGTGATTCCCTTCCGATCTAACAGATGAGCTTGTGCACTTGATGCCAAGACCTTGAGAGCAATAAAATCTACACCATGAATGTTTGGGGGTTTTTGTTTGTTTTTGGAGGGGGATGGAGTTGCTTTTCATCCACTTCAGAAGGAAAAGGAAGAGGGGAACTCCTTTAATTTTGGAAAATGAATCAGAATAGTGCTTTTCTCTTTATACCCTACAACTGAGCTTCCTCTGTTGCTGACGTCATGTCCAAGTTAAGGCCGAATGCTTGGACTGTGCGGGCTGGCCGCGGTTGGGGTGCACTCAGGCCCTGGGCCCTGGGCGTCCCCCGCGGGCACCCCACAGGCTGAGCTCGGAGCCTGGGGGCCGCTGGTGGCTCCTCCCTCGGCTCAGACCCACGCCCGGCTCTCGGGCACCTTCCACGCACGCGCCTCGGCCCTGCCCAGCGAGTGCAGTTCGGGTCGTGGTCACTACGCATGTGTCCAGCTGCGGAGAGGACCCCAGCTTGTTTACCCCCGCTCTGGGGAGTTCCAGGGGCTTCTAAGGTGCCCGTGGCAGCTACCGGCACCTGGGGACCCTGATAGCAGTGTAAGTGACCATCCCCGCTGCATGGGGGCCAGGAGGCGCTGGGGAAGGGCCTAGCTAGTCAGAAAGAAAGCGTGTCCTCGTTTGCGATTAATCCAAAGGAAGAAGTGGCCCTGGCCATCCAGGGCTTGGTGGCAGCATGGCCCTCCCTGAGGCGTCCCTGTCCCCAAGAGGCACAGAGTCTAGTCGAAGAGATGAGTTCTGAATATACAAACCACTAAATAGCAACATAAAACAACCATGTAAGCAACACTTGGTCGTCGACAACGCGGGTACGGTCGCTGGTCCATCTTGAATCTCCACCTGTCTGTCCCTCTGCCCCCCCTCTGTGCCCCAAGGCATAAGAACCTTTTCTTCCACTCGTTTAGTTACTGAGCATCACAGCTGAGCTGAGCAGAGTGGAATGTGCAGTTCGAGAGCAGTCTCCAGGCTGTCCTTGCCCACGCGGCCACTGCTGGGGTCAGACTTGGGGTGAAGGATAAGTCCCTCTCTGCATGTTGCTTTGTCTCTGCTGAGACGCTTACAGGACAAGCCGCACAGTCTTTCCAGCCCGCTGATTTTCGGCCGAACTGTTCAGCCTTGTGCATAAGCTGACGCTTCCAAGTTCTCACCGATACCTGCATGCTCTCCCTAGCACGTGGCGCTCCGAGTCCCATGGTGTCATGTGGCTTCTAACCCTTCCGCAGTGTAACCAGGCTTAAGGTGACAACGGTGGGCCTGGCGTGCCCACCCGCTTCCTCTCTGGACACAGTACGTCCGCGGCCCAGGTGCCTGCCCCTTTCTCTAGCGAGTGAGCTCCTGCAGGAGAGCGAGAGCCTCGGTGAGCGCCTGGGCCGTGGGGCAGCCGGGGCGCACCGGACGTTCGGGGTCCGCATCCTCGTCTGTCAGGGCCGGGACACCCCGGCACAGGGACGGGCCGGGGGCAGAAGATGTCACACCGTGTTCTGCTTGGCTGAGGGGTGGACACATGTGAACTCAGTTTTACCACGAGCATTTGCCGTGGTCCAATTCCATGAAATTGGTGGCATTCCCATAAGCTGCTCGGGTACGTAAAGGACAAGACCACTTTTAGGGGACCCAGGAGTTGGCCAGAGGAGCGGGCACCAGTCAGCCCTGTCAGCAGCTGGATATTCTTTTCAAAGACAATTGAATTGCTTAACATTTTTATGCTCTGTAATGACACGTCCACCTGGAGTTTTCTTTTCTCATAAACTTTTCCGTTTCTTAACTTTCTGTTGCAAAAGTGATGGGACAGACGTCGAACTGTGAATGAGGCCCTGAAATGCACTAAGCCGTGTTAAATTAAACCTGAGCTACTTGATGCCATGAAGAAATGCATCTGATCTGCTTGTATTTATTGTCTCAGACCTGTAAGATTTGTACGTTGTGACAATCAAATGTGACTCGCCTAAATGCCGGGAAATTCCACTGGCTTCTTAACCATAAAGACCGCCCACAAGTACTGTAACTGTAAATGAGCATCTCTCTCTCTCTGGAAAACCACGCAAACCCCCGACTCGGTGCGTGCGACAGACGTCGGGGTTCTTTTCTATTACTGATGATTGGTCCTATCTGACTGTTGGCCAGTTTCAAAGTGACGAATTCTATACAGGGTGCAAATGTATTATATGGATGTTTCCTTTTGTACACTTCATTTTTACAAGTTTTGCTACTCACGAGCTTTATGTAGTCGAGGATAGCGGTATTTTTGGCCAATGGGAGCCTGTGGGGGTGGGGTGGGGATGGGCAAGCTACCTGAGATTTTACCAGCCTGCGTCCCAAACAACCGGCCGCGTTTGCCACGCTCTGTGGACCTCACTGTACGTGGGCGCGTGTGAGCCTGCCCGAGTGGTGGTACTTTCTAGATAAAATGCTGCAGGCGCCACGTGTGCCTCTCAACATTGCTGCTGTCCCAGAGAGGGAGGAGACATCCATAAACGTTGTCTCCGGTGTGCGCGGGTCCCCCTGGGGAGGCGGCGGACGCCCGGGCCACCCACCCGCACTGACCGCCCCCGCGGGGGGCCGCTCTAGCTGGGGCCGTCCTGCTGGGTGCGCTTCCCACGCTTCTCCATTTCATGTAAGATGCTTTAGGAAAAGGGGAAATCGGAAAGGAGAGTGACCATCTGGCGAGGGCAAAGGAGAGAATCAGCTGGGGCACCAAGTGCTCAGTGACCCTCTGCCTAAACATGGGTCTTAAAAGCCATCAAGGACAAAAAGGTTTTCCAAAGTAGGCATGTATATATCAAAAACTATTTTTTTGTAACAACAAATTCATTCTGTGGAGAAAATCGAGGAACAATTTTTCTTTATAAAGAAAAGAACTCTTGTTAGAACCAAGAGCTATTCCAGGTTCTCATTTGTCTGTCTTGTGAAAATAAATCGAGCTGAAAGAGTCGTGGTGTGACCTGTGCTCGGGCAGCAGCCCCTGGTGATGTGCTTTCCTGCCCTGCCCCGACGTGGCTGTGGCGGTGGGGACGGGGCCACGTCCACGCTCCGCTCAGGCCACCTGAGACCAGGTTCAGATGGGCTCTCCCGAAAGCCCCACATCTAGACTCATTTTACAAACTATTAGTCTCTGAGGGGCACCTGGGTGGCTCCGTCGGTTAAGCATCCGACTTGGTTTCGGCTGAGGTCACGATCTCAGGGTCGTGGGATCGAGCCCCACGTTGGGCTCCGCGCTGGGTGCAGTGTCTGCTGGAGATTCTCTCTCTCGGCGCCCCTCCCGCCTCCCACGCGCGCGCGCTCTCTCTCTCTCTCTCTCTCTAAAATAATAAATAAACCTCTAAACAATAAGAAACATCAGTCCTCAGAACACACATGTGCCAGCACACAGACGCACACACAGATGTGGGGTCTGGGGAAACAGGGTGCTCTTTTCCCAGGAGACAACACCGAAGGGCCGCATACCACTTGGTGTTTGGAGATGGCAGGGTTGGGCCAGACCCTCGTCCCCTAGGCACGCAGCTCTGCTCTGCTCGTGTGCTGGGTCCTGTTGGAGCATGACTATCCACTGGCAAAGACAGGCGGCTGTGGAAGGCACCCCGGACTCCTCACCTGGAGTTTTGTGCACATCTGGGGTACCCGGGAGGCGGGCCATGCTTCATCATGAGGCCCACCTGCCATGCTGGCCGCGCCCCACCTCTGCTTTGGCTCTGCGGGGCAGACCCCGAATGTCGGCACCAGCCCCTGGCCACCTGATGTAAGAAGTGTGTGGGGGCGTGCACGTGCGCACACGTGTGTCAGCCCATGCACATGTGCGTATGCGTGTGGGCACCGCCACGTGCACGTGAACACAGTGTACACACATGTTACGCACACAAATACACACCCCCCAAACTGTAAGGGGAAAGCAGGGGGTGCTCGTATAAGAGAATCCCATTAGGAAATGGTAGGAAATCACAACTTTATGCTCTGGAAATCATCCTTATTTTCATGTTTCCTCATGTTTCATGTAATGCCCGAGACCGCTGAATTGTCCAGGCGACCCCCACAGCCGTGGAATTTCCGGAAAGAAAAGCTCCTCTTGACAGAAGCGCTCCCCAGGGGCTAAAAACTCAGTGAAGAACTCGAGTTGTCCTGTGGTGTCTCAGAGGAAGCGGGTGATGTCACCAGCTGCAGGCTCCAGCTCCGCCCACTCCATGGAAGGTGTGACATATGGGGGTAAGGGGCATGGCGTTTTCAGCTCTGCCCCAGGGAGAATCTGGCAGGTGGTTGAAGGGATTTACCCCCCACTGCCCGGAGCAGGGCCCGACCCCCTAAGATCACACCAGTGGGGTCCAGTAAGGCCTGCAAACTGCCTTCCCGAGGGATGTGTCTTGTAGAACAGGGTGTGTAAGTCTATGCCCAGGGATGATTGCTCCATCCAGGAGCAGCAAGCCCAGTGCTGTCCCAGCCCTGACCCCCTTTCCCACATGCTGAGTACGGGAGGGGAGGCGCTAGGAGAGCACAGGAGGGGCTCACTGAGGTCCCAGAGCGCTCTGAGCCAACAGGTGTGTGCAGGGGCCTGGGGGGTGTCCTTGGACACAAGCAAATGCTACGTGATCTTAAACCAAGACTGGGGTCGGGGGAGAGGACAGCTGGCTCCAGCCTGTTTGCAAAACCACTGCAAGATCGAAGGTCCCCTCGGGAGGCATCCTGAGGGTGGGATTCTCCTTCCCTCCTGGAGGGACAGGAGCCCATATGTCAGGGCCCAGAGACTTGTTAGGACTCCCGGGAGCTGCAGAGCTCGAGTGCGCCTCGCCCACACCAGGCTCTCAACCACTGTGCAGGACCGGAGAGCCTCCTGGCACATAATGGCCCCACAGACTGTTCTCAAATGCACACAACGTCCTGGTAAAGGACTCCCACCATGAGGGAGAGACAAGCAGACTCCCTGCTGAGGCCCGATGTGGGGCTCCATCCTCGGGGACCCCGAGATCATGACCTGAGCCACCCGGGCACCCTCTGCTTAGACTTGTGGAAACACCTTTTCCAGGGCCTTCCTCTGTTACAACCGCATAAACAGATCGCGGCTTGGTCTCAGCCTGGGAGAATTCCAAAGGGCCTCTCTCACGGAGGGAAGACAGGAGAGCGGAACTGGCCGCCCCCCTGCACCCACCCTGAGTGCAAACAGTCTGAGGGTGGACAGCCGCCCCTTCCTCAGAGCACATCAGAGCTGCCGGGGGGCTGTCTCTCTCCCGGGATGTTCCTGTCTCGGGTTGTGGGAATCGAAGGGTGGGAGATGGACCTCGGGTGTCATCCATCAAGGTCCTGAGGTCCACACAGGTCCCGGTCCTGCGTGCCCAGCATCTGCCAAGGCCACACGGCCTAGCCGGTCATCGTCCCGTGCACCCCAAGCACGCAGATGAGCAGTGGGAGTTGGCCATGTGACAGGCACCCCAGCCAGGCTGCGTTTCCAGCTCCCTCCCAGCAGGAAAGAGTCTCCCCAGGCACTCCCCACGGGACAGGGCAGGCGGGGGCCTCTGCAGATGGGCGGGGGCAAGGAGCAGCCAGCCCTGGCCACTGTCGGGGGGCAACAGAGGTGGCCAGGGGCTGAGGCGGCAAAGACTGAGCTGGTTCTGGAGAGCTGCTGCAGGAGGGAGGGGCCCCAGCGTGACCTGAGCCCCGCTTCCCTGGGACAGACGCGGGAGACTCTCCGGGGCCGGGTGTGCAGAGGAGTGGCTCAGAGGGCGGTGTGTGTGCCGGGGTGGGGGGCCCATGCGACCAGGTCACCTGGGTTGGCCACCTGGCGCCTCCCTGGAGGGGAAAGAAACTCCCGGGCCCCTAGGACAGAGGCCGTGGTGCACTCGGAGCAAGGCGCCCGCGGGGTCCGGCCCTGACCTCCCAGGGGGGCTGGGGGCTGGGAGGGAGAGCGGAGCCCCGAGTGTGTGTGGCACGGCCGCTCCCGGGTCCTCGAGGGGACAGTTCTGGGCGGCGGACGATGGGTGTCTCAAAGTGCAGAGAAGGATTTAGAATCGCAAGGTGTGTTGTGCGGCTGGAGCTGGTATTTTGAATTATGACCAGCTGAAGGAGGGGCACAGACCCGGACCTCAGCAGCCTTCGGGGACAGGAGACCCACGGGCTGCCGGTTTGACCAGCGGTTTCAGTCCGGCCCCAGGACAGAAGTAGAGTCACAGGTTTCTTCCTTACAGATCCCCGTTCGAAGACACTTGATGAGCCAAGGAAGGGCTGTCCTTGGTCCCGGGTCACGAGCGGGCAGGAGGTAGACAGATGGTACGGGTACCTCTTACCAGGTGGTTGGGGTGGAGGTCACTAACTTTCCACGGACTCAACTCTGAGTGGTCATTTTATTTTATTGTTAAAGATTCATTTGTTCATTTTAGAGAGAGAGGGAGAGAAGAGAGAGAGCAGGGGGAGGTGCAGAGGGAGAGAGAGAATCTCAAGCAGGCTCCCCGCTGAGCACGGAGCCCAACGACCCTGAGATCGTGACCTGAGCTGAAACAGACTCAGACGCTCACCCGAGCCACCCAGGCGCCCCTGCGTGGTCACTTTAAAACGCGCCTGGGAAAAGCAAAGCAGGAACTGCGGGGAGGCTCCTAAGCTCCAGTCCTTATCTGAATGTCCAGACTCGGGGTGTGAGCGGCTTAGCATCTGTGAAATGCCCAGGCAGCAAGTCGGAAAGACAATTGTTTTCCTCATCACACAGCTTTCTCGGGAGCTGTTCTGAGAGGGGCTCGTGGGCCCCCCGGCCTGTCCCAGGTTTGGCTGGCACAAACGGTACATACTCCGTGCAGCCCTGAGCATTTTAGGAGGAGCTGGGCTCATCCCGGGCACAAAAGCCTTGAGCTCGTGTCTGGCCGCGTCTCAGCGCAGGGTCTGGCCCTGATGCCCGAGAGCCTTCCGGAAGTTCTCACCGGCCGGCAGCGAGGGGCTGGGGGACGAGGCCCAGGCCTCTCCACCTCCGGTGTCCTGCTGAGTGCCCCATGCTGTGGTCCACAAGCAAGGCACAGAGCTGGGGACGCAGCCTCCAGGGGACCCGAGCCCCGAGGGAAGGTGACCTGCACAGAAGCTGCTGGAACGGACTTAGGAAGGTCACGGCACGGTGGAGGGCGGGCAATGTCACAGTGAAACCCAAGTCCCCGGGTAGAACCCTCAACCTGGGCTGTCCCCCCACGGGGGACAGTTCTGTTGCTCTAAAGACCAGTGGCCTGGGCTGGGGTGGGGGCAACAGGGGGTGGATTTGGAAAGAAGCCCCAAGAGGCACCTTCAGAAGAAAAAAGTGAAAACGAAGCACCACCAACTAAGCAACCACATACTCCGGTATTTGGAACAGTCACAAAGACGTCAAGAATAGTGAGACGAACACCAGGTGCCCGTCCCCAAAGCCACTGCGGGCTCATGCGTCCTGCCTCGCCATGTGTCGTGCCCAACCCTCCCTCCCGCGGGTCTGTTTATCCCTGAACAGCAGTGACAGCGAATGCTCTCATGGTGACGCCGCTGGCCCCGCGCTGTCCTGGGCACTTCCGGGCATTGACTCGGTGTCACTGCAACCCAGGAGGAAATCCCGACGCCACGGTTTCCCTGGTCGGCCTCGTGCCGCGCAGCCTCTGTGCGTCCCCCAGGTGCGGGTCCCGGGACACACAGAGTCACACGGACAGGTTGTCCCACCGCCTGTGGCTGAGCCGGGGTCGGTGTGGGACTCACGCAGGGAGCTGCAGATGATCTTTGCTGCTGTACAAGTCTCTTTGTGTGACTGAGGCAGAGTCCATCCATGTTCCTGCTGGAAGCCTGCTGCCCTGTGCCATGCGGCCGTGAATGTTACGTCCAAACTGCTCTGGGCTCTGTGTGGGGGTGGGCCGACCGCATGGAGGAAGTGAGGCCCTGCCCTCCCAGATCTACCTTCGTTTCCCCAAACGGGCGCGCTGTTCCCATGCCCGAGCTGAGTGCAGGT